AACCCCCCAACCCCCCCTCATCTTCCAACAGACTCGTATTTAATTTCCAATATCCCCTAGAGATACAAGCTAGAGAATCCCACTCTACTTTTTACGACAACCGCCCTATGATCTGAAAAAGCTAGGTCAATAGTACGGACAGACTTTGACACTACCTTATGAGATATTTTACAACCTGTCTAACCTAAGCCCAACCTCGCCTCACGAAAGTATGCTCCACCTCCCACGCTCCCCCACCTACCACATCCCTCAACTGAACGTCCACCAATAGATTGCGTAATGCTGTCAAATATGCCCCGCCCCTCGAGGTTCCACATCCCTCTCCTGTCACACAATTCCAGTCCCCACCTACGATGGCCACCTCAGGTAAACCACGGAAAGCAAAAACTAGATCATCACACACAAAATCCCTCTTTACTTTCATATCATTTTCAGCTGGGGCATACACACTTACAAAGGTTACCCTCTGCCCATCCACCACCCATCCACACGCAACACCCTCCCCCCCCACCCCCTTCACGTCCCCTTTTCAACACAAAAAGGGCTCGCCTCCTTTATTTAATAAACCCACACCACCTTTCAAACGTGCCGATGGCAGAGTCAACACCGTATACCCTTCCACCTCGAGCACTTTACCCTCCCTGAAATTATGCTCCCGTAGAAAGACTACGTCCACTCTGTACGACGTAAGAGCATACGAAAGCATTCCTCTTCATACCAGTACACGTCCATTCACATTCACAGTCATGCATTTAAGGCCTTTCTAAAGCTTCCAATCCTTTCTCCTCTCACCCTTCCAGGGCCTCTTGCCCAGGGCAACATGTGGTTTGTCACCATCCCCCCCCCCCCTTTTCGATGCCTCTTATCCTGGCTGTCACGAAAATATACATCCCTCCTCCCAGACCCCTGCGCGGTGTCAGGACATCTTCTGAGTCTGACGCAGCCGCCCTCTTCCTCGTGACCTCTCTACCGCCATACTGTCTTCCGAAGATTCCCCACAGTGAATATCAACCTCTACTGTGACCTGTCGCACAGAGCTCGGTGACTCCTCTCTGTGCCTGCAGTTGTCCTCCGTCCTTCTCGTGCCTGTCCCGCCACACTTCCTTTCAACTCAGGCACCATTTCACGGACCAAGCCATTATCCTCGCCGAAGAAGGTAAATTTTTCAATACCCCGTCGAGCTCCTCCTCCAGCTCTTGCACCTCCTGCTGAATTAGCACGTCCTCCCCCCTCACCGGCAAAGTGGCCATTTTTGGCTCCACACAACTCGTGCCACGCCCATCATCACCACAAGAGCTCTTCCACAATGTCACTCCACAGACGGCCATTCCTCGATTTCCCTTTTGGAAAATTTTCCTCCACGACATCCACACCTGTAACTGGTGCTCCACCTGTTTGGCCAGCGCCCTCCACTGCCTCCCACACGTCGCTGCCATATGGTCATAAATCCCCACACAACCTGCATGTCCGTCGCTGCCCAGCATTACGCCACTAGAATCTGGGTCCTAAACTCCGCATCACGACGTATGACGGAATCGGGTGCCTCAGTGTCATTTTGAGGGAGAATGTACTCTCCGGACGTCCATGTACGCCACCTGCCGCCCACTTGCCTTGGGTTGCCAGATGCACGGTACCATAAGCAGCAAACACCTTCCGTAAGTCCTCCCCGTCAGCCTCGAAGGGACATTTCGCAACTTCACCCACGTATAGTGGCGAGAGACGTCTATGAGTCGCACTTTGACAGCTGGAGTTACATCAATACTCACATGCTCAAATTTCGTCACCAACGACTCGTACCAGCCGTCGATTTAACTTTGACGAATAGACGATAGGCCCCATTCAGGGCCACACCATAAACCTCATCATCCTGCACTCCGTAAAGTTTCCCGGATAATTGCCGGAGTAACACCTGCGCCGTAGAGGGGGAAATCGCCCCACGAAGCAGCTCAAAGCCGACAGTGTTTATCCTACGTCGGATACTCAGCGCCATATTTTTGCTATGAGAGCTCTCCTGACAAACAGCAGAGGGGTGCTGTGCACAACCTCACTCCACCGCAGTCAGGCAGCTAAACCAAAACTAATTAGTAGATATTTTGGCTAATTTGGTTAATATTGAGAGATAAGATGATTTTATGTGTGAGGTTCTGCCTTCAATTCAACGTCATTTATTTTTATTCTTAAACCAGTTGGTATGTGGATCTTAAATTTCCTAATAGAACAAATTGTAGTAGTGAACAGAGTAAAGTCTGAGGCGGCTACGGTGAAAAGCTCTGTTCCACAAGGCACAGTACTCGCTCCCATCCTGTTCCCCATCCTCTTATCTGACATAGACAAGGATGTAAACCACAGCAACTGTGTCTTCCTTTGCAGATGACACCCGAATTTACATGACAGTGTCCCTCCATTGAAGACACTGCAAGACTCCAGGCGGACAACCAAATCTTTAAATGGGTCGCAGGCAATAATATGAAGCTCAATGATGAGAAATTTCAACTACTCCGATGTGGAATACATGAAGAAATTAAAAATATTTCAGAGTATAAAACAAATTCCAACCACACAATAGAGCGGAAAACTAATGTAAAAGACCCGGGAGGTGATAATATCAGAGGATCTCCCTTTTAAAGGCCATAACATTGTATCAATCGCATCTGATAGAAAAATGACACGATGGATAATGAGAACCTTCAAAACTAGGGATGCCAGGCCTATGATACTCTTCAAGTCGCTTGTTCTATCTAGACTGGAATATTGCTGCACACTTACAGCGCCTTTCAAAGCAGATGAAATTGCTGACCTAGAAAATGTACAGAGAACCTTCACCGTACACATAACTGCGATAAAACACCTCAGTTACTGTGAACGCTTAAATTTCCTCAACCTGTACTCCCTAGAATGCAGGCGGAATTATTTACACTTGGAAAATCCTAGAGGGATTAGTACCAAACCTGCACACGAAAATCACTCCCTATGCATGACCCCCACGGGTTGAGCGCTCCACCATGAGTAGTACTGATAATGATTTATTTATTTATTTATTTATTTATTTGAACATGAAACATAGAAGTACAAGGAAATACAGAGGTTAAGTGTAACATGCCAAAGCCCTTTGTATGCAGAGCATTATAGGCAGGCTGAAAATTAACTTAAAATTAACTAAGCAATGATATTTCAGTGGTAAACATTTTTGTAAACAGTTAACAATTAAGCACAAATGAGTATTTCAAAGACATCATATGATCATTTACTGTGTTGCTGTGCATTCAGTAGAATGGAGTATTCTGTTACGTAATGTAATTAAAAATAACAGTGTGATTAGGTCACAGGTTAAACATTTATGAGATACAATTATTCAGTATTTATTTGGTTGTGGGTGAGTAAGTGATTTTTAAGAAGAGACTTGAATTTATAAACAGTGTTTCTTTTATATTCACAGGTAGTGAATTCCAGATTTTTGGGCCTTTTATGTGCATTGAGTTTTTACATAGTGTGAGATGGACACGAGGAATATCAAAGAGTGATCTGTACCTTGTGTTATGGTCATGTGTTCTGTTGAGGTTGGTAAGGAGACGTTTGAGGGGAAGGTTTATATCCGAGTTAAGTGTTCTATGTATGTAGTAGGTACAATAATAAGTATGGATGTTTTGTATGGTGAGTAGGTTTAGAGTTTTGAATATTGGTGGAGTGTGCTGCCTGTAGTGGGAATTTGTTTATCATTCTGACTGCAGCCTTTTGTTGGGTAATTAATGGTCTGAGATGGTTTATTGTTGCTGACCCCATGCACAAATTCCATAGGTGAGATAGGAGTAAATAAGTGAGTGATATAGGGCCAGAGGGCTGACTGTGGAAACTAGTACCGTATCTTCGATAGTATGCCTACGGTCTTGGAAATTTTTTGGGGAAATTTGTTGTATATGTGTTTGAAATTTGAGTCTATTATCAAGGTGGATTCCTAAGAATTTTCCCTCTGTGAGCTTTGTGATAGGTGATCCGTTTATCATTATGTTAAGAGGGACATCTGTAGCTCTGTTACCAAACTGAATGAAGTAGGTTTTGTCAATGTGAGAGTAAGTTTGTTAGTCTTCATTCAGGTAGATATTTTCTGTAATTCGGTATTCACAGTATTGGCTAGCATGACTGGGCTCGGGTGAGAGAAGACGTATGTTTGTGTCATCTGCAAATAGTGTGGGTTTGAGTAGTTGCGATGCATTTGGTAGGTCATTTATGTAAACGAGAAAGAAAGAGAGGGCCAGGGACACTTCCCTGTGGGACACAACTGTCATTGATTGTGCGGAAGAGTTTGCTCCATTTGTGTACACATATTGACTTCTGTTGCTGAGGTATGACTTTAGGTAGTTGAGGGAGTGCCCTCTTATACCATAGTGCGACAATTTTATGCGGAGCAAGTCATGGTCAACTGTATCAAAAGCTTTAAGTAAATCAATGAAGATTCCCAGTGGGACTTCTTTTTCTCTAGTGCAGTGTATATTTGTTCTAGCATGTGTATAATAGCATCATTCGTATTTTTATTAGGCCTGAACCCAAACTGACAGGGGTTGAGTATGTTGTGGGAGATGAGATAGGAATAGATTCGCTTATGAATTAATTTTTCGAAGATTTTAGAGAGAGGGTGTAAGTTGGATATTGGCCTATAGTTATTCAGGTATGTTTGGTCTCCTTTATGGATCGGGGTGACCCCTCGCTATTTTGAGAACTGTAGGGAAGGTAGAGGATTCGATGGATTTGTTAAAGAATGCTGCAATGTTTAAACGGTGACAGCACTTGCGACACTTTTCTGTATATAAAGGGTTTTTAGTGTGTTGATAATAAGGGAGACTTCTGTTGGGTTAGTCGGAGCTAGGAACAGTGTGTTCGGGTAGTTGCCAGTGAGGTAGTCATTGGGTGGGGTATTTGAGCTTGGGATTTTATTGGCAAGGTTTTATCCTATGGTGGAGAAGAAATCATTGAGTCTGTTTGCTGTTTCAGTTGGTGGGAGTTGGGGTTCATCTGGCTTTGTTAGTTCAGTTGCGCTGTTTCGTGATATCTTTCTCGTTCCTAGAATTTCTGATAGGGTTTTCCAGGTCTTTTTTATATCACCTTTTAAGTTGGATAATCTGTTCTCATAATACAATTTTTTGCCCTTATCAGGCTGGTTAGGATTGACGAGCAACGTTTTGTTTGGTCTCTGGTTATGTGAGACCCATTCTGTACTGTTTTTCGTATAGGTGCTTTGTATTTATGGATTTGAGGATGCTGGGTGCTAGCCAGGGACTGTTCAGTCTCTTAGCTGTCATCTGTTCAGTTTTTTAGGGCAGTGCTTGTTATAGAGGTATTGGGTCTTTTTAGAAAATTATTAATACTTTCGTCAATATCTGTATAGATTTCTAGCTCAGTGTGCCAGTCAATGTTTGTCACTGCTGTTGTGAAGTTATTAATGGCTACAGTACCCAATGGAAATAAGTAAGGACCCCAATGGAAATAAGTAAGGACCCCAATGGAAATAAGTAAGGACCCCAATGGAAATAAGTCACTCTGTCTGACTTTTTTGGGTTATCCTAGGTTCTCTACACATATGCTGCTATGTATGATAATTCTATGTAACTGTATTTGTGTATACCTGAATAAACTTACTTACTTACTTGCCATCTGGTGTGGGTCGCATCCTGGGACAAAACTGACCTAATTTGCCCGAAATGCTCAGCATAACAAGCGGCTTTCTATATAGTAGTATGTCATTTATGTCAGCAATGGTCTGTATACCTTGTACATGAGTTTGTAGTAAATAAAGATAATATTTATTATATTATTACATTATCTAGGGGATGGTGTAGTAGTGCCATCTAGTGATGGTAGTCAGAGTTAGTTCGGTTATCAGTGATGGCGTTATAGTGAAGGTCAAGACAGTGACGAACCTCAAGGTCGCTCAAGGTCAGTTGAACTTCAGTGGTCGTACAGGAGAGATTCCTAGTTCTTCCTCCTGCCGTTCCGCCGGCCTTACCGTTTCCTCAGCCTCTTAATACACCTAAATAACGTAAATATTGTCTATTGACGTGTTTGTAAGTACAACAGCAGAGTTGAGCTGTAGCTCCTGGTCCCCGCCATCAGTTTGGTTACTAAATTATTATTTTAATCTTAATTTTCATTGGGGTCTAATGTTTTGGAGGGGGGGGGGTAGCTGATTTTAGTGGAGGGGTTTTGATGCGAGGAACTGGAGCTATTCCCCTTCCTCTGATCAAACAATAACTCTCACACTAGGCGTTACATAACCCATAATGGTGTATGTAGTTCTGGGTTTTTTTTTTTTCCATTATTGAAAAATAACTTAGTCTCTTGATCCAAGTAACTTGCACATTGTGATCCAGATATAAACTTCCATGTAAACAAATTGTTAATCATCAGGTTGATATGTAAGCGATATTGATTAAAGAAAATAAAGATAGTTTTACTATGTTAAACATTATTGGTAATATCAGTCAGGCAGTAATGTTATTAGTTTATATTACATGATAATGTTTGTGTGTGTGTGTAATGTTGATGGTTTTTATAATGTTTGTGTGTATATATGTGTAATGTTGATGGTTATAATGTTTGTGTGTATGTGTAATGTTAATGGTTAAATTGTTCCAGGTGTGGTAATTGCTGCGTCTGACTGCTGCAACAGTGATCAACACAGCAACATTGACTAGTCTGAGGAATGGAGACAACCGCACTAGTACATGGTCTGACCCATAACAGTGTTATACCTGGATATACCTGGAGAGGGTTACTCCAGGTATGTGGAGATGCAGCAGCTGGAGACGTTGTCAGAGGTGGGCGGGCCCACTTGTAAGGTATTTCCAGGTTATAAGTCCACTAAGTTTGGTTATTGGAGCAGATAGTAATTGTATTAGGTGGGAGGGTGGTGGGGAGAGTATAGGAAAGATTGTAAGGAATTGATATCAAAAGTAGTTTAGTGGGAAGTATTAGCTTATCTCCCGACCAGAGATAACATCTCTGGCCAGGAGATAGGTTACCTTGAATGGGGTGGAGATAAAAATGGGGGAAATGGTTGTAAAGCTTAGAACTGAAGACTGATTAGATTTTAGGAAGTCTTAGTCTAATATCTTTATCATGCAGCCTATACCCATCCGCAAGAGTGTAGGAAACAGATGAAATGTGTAAGTGATATATCATAGCTCAGTTGGTAGTGGCGTCAACTGGAGAACCGGGATTCGGTCCCGGGCACAAGTGGGCATGTTCCTTTATATCCATTGGCACTGTTCACATAAAGGAGGAACACTGCAGCAGGACTACTGGCATGGGTCGCATCCTGGGTAGTATAAATATCGTAATGAAAATGTCATAATGTCATCCTGACTTAGAACATAAGGAAGGAGGAACACTGCAGTAGGCCTGTTGGGCCCCTACTGGGCATACTTGATTGGGTAATTCTGTGTTAATTAATCTACCGGGTTAATAATTATACTAAGACAGTTTAGTGTGATGAGGGTAATGGCAAAGGTCTTGATGCCGGGTGTAAGGAAAGCCTATTAAATCAAGCATATCCATTATTAAGACATAAAAAAAAGCACTGAAGCAGGCCTATTGACCCATGTTAGGCAGGTCCAAATCTCAACCACTTTTGTCTAACCTATTTTTTTTAAAACTACACAGCCAAGTTTGATTCACATGACGGGATAAATTTTCCTTAGGCAAAACATATTATAGCCAGAAAATCAGTAACAATTCCTCAGAAATGTGGAATGTTTAACTAACCACAATTCCTATTTTCAGTAGGGTTGTAGAGGACCTGGCCAAGTAATTTTATGCTTTGAATTCCCAAAAATATTTTCAGTAGCATAATCTTGTGGGTTTAGCAACAGACATAGCCCCACTCCACAAAGGGGCAGTAAAGCAACAGCAAAGAACTACAGACCGATAGCACTAACATCCCATATCATAAAAATCTTTGAAAGGGTCCTAAGAAGCAAGATCACCACCCATCTAGAAACCCATCAGTTACACAACCCAGGCAACATGGGTTTCGAACAGGTCGCTCCTGTCTGTCTCAACTATTGGATCACTATGACAAGGTCCTAGATGCACTAGAAGACAAAAAGAATGCAGATGTAATATATACAGACTTTGCAAAAGCCTTCGACAAGTGTGACCATGGCGTAATAGCGCACAAAATGCGTGCTAAAGGAATAACAGGAAAAGTCGGTCGATGGATCTATAATTTCCTCACTAACAGAACACAGAGTAGTCGTCAACAGAGTAAAGTCCGAGGCAGCTACGGTGAAAAGCTGTTCCACAAGGCACAGTACTCGCTCCCATCTTGTTCCTCATCCTCATATCCGACATAGACAAGGATGTCAGCCACAGCACCGTGTCTTCCTTTGCAGATGACACCCGAATCTGCATGACAGTGTCCTCCATTGCAGACACTGCAAGGCTCCAGGCGGACATCAACCAAATCTTTCAGTGGGCTGCAGAAAACAATATGAAGTTCAACGATGAGAAATTTCAATTACTCAGATATGGTAAACACGAGGAAATTAAATCTTCATCAGAGTACAAAACAAATTCTGGCCACAAAATAGAGCGAAACACCAACGTCAAAGACCTGGGAGTGATCATGTCGGAGGATCTCACCTTCAAGGACCATAACATTGTATCAATCGCATCTGCTAGAAAAATGACAGGATGGATAATGAGAACCTTCAAAACTAGGGAGGCCAAGCCCATGATGACACTCTTCAGGTCACTTGTTCTATCTAGGCTGGTATATTGCTGCACACTAACAGCACCTTTCAAGGCAGGTGAAATTGCTGACCTAGAAAATGTAGAGAACCTTCACGGCGCGCATAACGGAGATAAAACACCTCAATTACTGGGAGCGCTTGAGGTTCCTAAACCTGTATTCGCTGGAACGCAGGCGGGAGAGATACATGATTATATACACCTGGAAAATCCTAGAGGGACTAGTACCGAACTTGCACACGAAAATCACTCACTACGAAAGCAAAAGACTTGGCAGACGATGCAACATCCCCCCAATGAAAAGCAGGGGTGTCACTAGCACGTTAAGAGACCATACAATAAGTGTCAGGGGCCCGAGACTGTTCAACTGCCTCCCAGCATACATAAGGGGGATTACCAACAGACCCCTGGCAGTCTTCAAGCTGGCACTGGACAAGCACCTAAAGTCGGTTCCTGACCAGCCGGGCTGTGGCTCGTACGTTGGTTTGCGTGTAGCCAGCAGTAACAGCCTGGTTGATCAGGCTCTGATCCACCAGGAGGCCTGGTCACAGACCGGGCCGCGGGGGCGTTGACCCCCGGAACTCTCCAGGTAAACTCCAGGTATGACTCCAGAGTCTGTATTAGAGCGTCTTGGGGGGGGGGGGGAGCATGTTTTGAAATTGGGTTATACAGTATATATTTAGAGACTTTGTAGACTGATTGATCTTGCCTAGACCCCCTTGATCTTACCTAGACACCCCTTGATCTTACCTAGACCCCCCTTGATCTTACCTAGACCCCCCTTGATCTTACCTAGACCCCCTTGATCTTACCTAGACCCCCTTGATCTTACCTAGACCCCCTTGATCTTACCTAGACCCCCTTGATCTTACCTAGACCCCCCTTGATCTTACCTAGACCCCCCTTGATCTTACCTAGACCCCCCTTGATCTTACCTAGACCCCCCTTGATCTTACCTAGACCCCCCTTGATCTTACCTAGACCCCCCTTGATCTTACCTAGACCCCCCTTGATCTTACCTAGACCCCCCTTGATCTTGCCTAGCCCCCCCTTGATCTTGCCTAGCCCCCCTTGATCTTGCCTAGACCCCCCTTGATCTTGCCTAGACCCCCCTTGTTCTTACCTTCACCTCCCTTCATCCCCTCCCTTTGCGCCGCCACTGCTCTGCAAATTAGTAAGCCCTATTCCTGGTGTATGCTGCATACTCCAGTTTCTACTGTCAGAATACCTTATAGATTTAGGTGGTGTTAAGTAGGAT